ACATGGGGACTTAGTTTGGCTTAACTACACCACTGAGGCGTGTGGATTTTTCACACCAATGAGTAACGTAGTTATGATGACCTAGTTTTCTAGTGTAGACCAGGATTTAGTATTCCCTATATCCATTGTTTAGAGTCACGGTACCGCCTTCCTGCCAAGTTGTTTCTTGTCCATTTTTCCAATTCAACAGGAGTGCTCTTTCTTGTGAGAGCAGGTTACGGGTCTGATCCCAAGAGGTGCTACACACCTGCAACTCTCATTATCTTCACTGGCAGCTGGAATGAGAAGCTACAGCAGAGATACAGGTCAGTGCTTTGCTTTTTCAGAGTCATGGATCAGCACCGCTCTCTCAAAAGTTGTTCCAGTAAAATGTGTGAGCAATCTTCACCTTTTCACGGGATACTCTTACGAAAAAAACATTGTCCTGATCCTTTGAGAGCCATTATTCATTTACATTCGGAAACCTGCATTATGAGGGCTATCAGCTTTGCTTCAAGTATCAACACATGCAACACTCACAGGGAAACTAAAAGTATCACGTAGCAACAAAGTTCTCCTGAAGACTTTAGGGTGTATACTTCCCTTGGCCCAACATAATCAACATAAGGTTAGAGTGCCAACATAAGCATCTCTTTAGATTCAATGGGAGTTTACCTGGGTAAATTCACTTCACCATGGGCCTAATCCAAAACTCCCTGAAGACAATGGGAATCTTTCCATTAACTTTAAACGGCATTGGATCAAGCCCTATAAATACCAGCACCCTTAGATTATGAATCTGCTAAAAAAAAATGTCTCTCCACATGCCTAACTGTACATTTGCCATGTCTTTCCTGTTATTTATACAAGTGGAAGTTTGTGACTCTTCACCTCACCTATCACCGAAACATGCACCATTAGAAGCCAACACATATCTCATTACAGAGACATCCATGTCAGTCATTGAACTGCTGGGAAAAGTTGAAAGCAGGTTCCTTGGATTGCCAGAGATTAGCTCTGAGAGGGAACCCCCTGCTCGAGAACATCATGTTCCTGTCACACCTCTGATAGTTTCTTCCATATGTAGAGATTCCTTCCCACAAACGTGTTGTTTCTTTGTTTGTTTTAAACTGACTGAGACATGTATGGAAAGCTCTGTTGCTACATTTGAGAACAGTTTATGCCTGGAGGATGGACAGCTGCTGTTGCTGAGCATCTGTTTTCCAACTACCTCCTTGCCTCCCCTCCTAAAACCTAGTTTTTGTGGACTTTGCTGTGGCGATCATCCACTGAAATTTAGAAAACCACAAATACAGATTCTTATCCACCACGTAGCTCTGGTCTGCACTTGAATACATTCCTAAACTGGGGACTTCTTTCAAGAGCAGCCAGCACTGAAAGTAAGGTACATTTAAACAACCCCCAAAATTAGTTAAATTATAAAAATTCTACAATTTAAAATGTGAACATTTTGAAATGACAATAATCCCCAGGCATATTAAGTAATGCCATTCTATATCTCACTAGTCTCCCCACTAAACTCTCCACCCCTTCAAAACACTAAGGATTCTACTACCTTTACATTGAGTAATACCGCAATCTGTAAATAGCCCTGCTGAGTTCAATAGGGCTATTTGTGGACTGAGGTCCTACTCAACGTGAGTCAAGGTGGCAAAATATGGCTCTAAAAGACAGTTCTCCATGACAAGGCCAACAAAAGCAATGTGGAATTGGTAGACTAGGACATTTTCAAAATGTGACTAGTCAAAAAAGTTAGGAACGTTTGTATAGAGTGAACAGGAAAAAAAATTAAACCCATTTTCTCTTAATTTTACCCAAATCCATAAATCCCTATCTGGGGTTCAACCACTACATGCAGAGTTATGGGGCATCGGTTACTTTTTGGAGAAGTTATTAGGGGAAAAGTGGAGGGGGAAAAGGGAAAGGAAGAGGAAATGTAAAGATCAGTTTTATAATGGGAAGCTAATTTCAACTTTAACCATGGAGCACCTTTCAACACTCCCTAATACGTCTAGCTTTTCTTTACAAAGAGCTTGAACAAGAGAGAGAGCGAGTGCATAGATCAGCTTCAGCAGGAAGAGTTGATAAGCATCAAATACATACTGCACAGAAGGGGGCAGGCAGTTCTGGGTCCACAGAAGGACGAGTCCTGCATCAGAAATCTGACCTTGGCCATGACTTGGAGGCTGAGGACAGGAAAGAGCTCAGCTCTGAGCCCTGGCATGCAGTGGAAGTGAGGCATTTGGGCCTCAGAGGGGGGAAGGAAGGGAGCAACTGTATTACAATAGAAATACCTCCTCCTCCAGTTTTGTGTCAGCTAAGATGTCTGTTGTTCTAAATGAGAACACCAGAATAGTCAGCGTAGCTGAGGAAGGTGGAAGATCCATCAGAGGAGACAGAGAGAGATGGGTTTGTGTGTGTGTATGAACAATATAGGATCACTGGACCCAGAATGACTGGTTGGGCTCTATTCACATTCTAGCACTGTTGGAAGTGAAGGGTCCATTTTATTAATTGAAAAATATTACTTTATTACAGTGCATCTGTCACCTCTAGGCATAGTGACAAATTTTTCAAACACATTGAAACAGTCACAAGTTACAATTAAAAAAAGGGAGTGCAGGGTTAGAAGAGCTCACATGTCCTTACACTAGTGAACCTCAGAGAAGTCTGTGAGCGCTGACAAACTACAAGGAGCTGAGTGCTTTTATCTGCCACTGGAGAGCATGGGACTTGAGGGCACTCAGCATCCTGGAGAACTGGACCTTCCAAAAGGCCACAGTGCCTATTCTGCAAGCAACAAATGGAATAGAGTAGTTTCAGTTGAGTTGTGCTTTTTTTGACAGGCAGAGTTAACATTTAAGAAATTGTGTGTGTGTGTAATAGTTCTAGCTGCAGTAAAAAATGAAAGCATATTAAAAAATGCCAAGATTCTTATGGCATACTTAATACAGTACTTGTTTATTGATAACATCAACACCATCAGGAAAAAACAAAACACACACACCATGATGCATTAAGGTACCAATTTTAAAGGTGGTGAAAGAACAATCTCACAAAGGCCAGACTCCTTTTCCAGCATCTTCTCCCCTTTTTGGATAAGAAACATAATTTGCACTGAAACAGGCACCGAGCGTATCAGAGAGAAAACATACAATCTGTACAGAATGTCAACATTAATTAGAATATCAGGGGGAAATGTTTCAACTCTCCCTACCTTAAGGTTTGTGTTTTGTTTCTAAAACTTACTGTGGGTGTTGGGAGCCACCCTTTGGTCATCCTTGTAAGTGCAAAATCAATCAAATCTAGTACAGACACTCAAGGTTACTGCCTTCAGAAAGGAATTCTTGAGAACTGCTTATGAACTCATCACACCAATCTTTACCCTTAAAGAGCTGCCCCAGATCATAACACCACCTACTGCATGTACCTGCCTAGCAGGGAAGATAGGGAGGATTCATCACTGTGAAGCATCTGAACATGTCAAGTGCTGAGTGTCATTACGTGCTATGCCTTCCATTCTCTTTAGGCCTCTGACACAGACCAGTCTTCTCACAGCCTCTGAATAACTAGTGTCATTTCTCACTAAAATGAGGATTCGATAAAAGCAACATTTGTTGCTCTGCAGCCCTCTCCTCTGCTAGGGGTCCAAAGTTAGAGAAATAAAAATGCCCTACGGGGGCTACATATTGATTGCTCCATTGTTTCATCCTGGTTATTGGTAAGAACAGCAGTGTGAAAGGCAGATGGCCAAGTTCTAAAGGCTGATAAACTGGTATCATGTAATTTTAGCAAAACAGGCTGGACAATGGATGTAGCAAGGCAAAAACTTCAAAGAAGGGAAAATACAGACATGGAAGGTCAACTAGCAGGGCAGGGAGAGAAAGCTATGGAAATTGGCCAGGGAGATTATGTGGAAAACAAGCTTAAATATCATCCAAATCTTATTTCATACTGAAACCACAGACCATACCTGGAAAGGCAGAAACTATAGGTCTGATGATCTCTCTTTGCGTTTGTCTCAGTGATCTTTACAAGCCCTTAGAATTGTCCTCTGTTGTATAGTCAGTTTTTACTCTTTCCAGTTTTTACTGTCTAGTAGAACTGGCCCATGAAGCAAGGACAGTGCCCATGAGGGAATATGAAAGCTTGATGCCTGGGTACACAACCCTGAATAACCTAGACATGAAGGGCAAGAAGAGGTACTGAGGATGGATGGCTAAAACACAAAAGGCAGGTGGGGACAGGGGAACTGAGGTAAGCTATAGCTGATTATGTGAAGAAAAGAAAAAGAACCACTATGTAAACAAACAAAAAAATTGACAAATGGAAAGACAAATCTGTTAAGAGATACAGAGAAGACTGTAAACACTTCTGAAGACAACTAATCTAGAGCAAGGTGGGATTCCTAGCTGCTTTCTGTCCTAACACCTCCCACAAGACAGTTTCAATAATGAAATAAATAATAACAATACTAAGCATGTATGTAGTTCTTTACATGTTCAAAGTGTTTAATCAATTAAACTTCAACACACCAGTGGGGTAGATATTACTATCCATAGTCTGCAATTGGGGAAAACAGACACAAAGGAGCTAAGTGACCTGTACAAGGCCACACAATAACTGAGGGGCACAGCTGGGATTAAGACTCAGGAATTCCCAGTCCTGTGCTCAATTAAGTAGACCACACGGCCTCTCATTTTAGTATATTTATATAGCTGCCATTCAAGGGAAGTTTCATTGTCCCTTACATTAAGACTGTTTTACCCACCAAGGGAGGGAACAGATTGTCTTGCATCCCTCAACAGCAGTTCCATTGGCTGACTGAGAAGCAGTTTGTTGATGAGCTATGAAAAGAGCCCCTCTGCCAGTCTACCTTGCCTAGGAAGGCAGTAGCTGCTAAACGATACCGTATGTGGAATATTAAAGCAATGGAAAGAAAAGGAGAATGGAATGGGACAGTCATTAGGATTTCTTCTCTAAGGTGTGGAGGGCAGTTCCTCCCCGAAAGAAAAAATGGTTTGTGCAATGGTTATTTCAGCCTGGTTCAATACGGTCCCACAGCATTATCACAGCACTGCCCAGACGTTTCATTTGACGAGAACTGGGAGCTGCGGGGGGCGGTGCCTGCGGACGGTCAACGTCAGCAAAATGCCTCACGCCCCGCAATCAGATTACTTTGATGGGCCCCAGGCTGCCCACCACTTTATTAAAGCCTGTGCCAATTCGGATGTATTTGAAGTAGAGATGCCAATGTCCGAATACTCCACAAAATGCATGTCATCTACTGTCTCAGCTACCACTCCCATCTAACTCACCGGTGCTGGCTCATCAGACCTTAAAAATAGTCATCTGATCACAGAGCGCAGAAAGTAGGACCTGCAGAGAAAGATTTTCTTCATTTCGTATAAGAGAATGATAAAGTTGACTGTACATTAACCTAATATAGTAGGAGGCCACCGTGAAAGGAACAATCACTCCCAAGAAACAAAACAAAGCTCTTAAAACCCCAGCTTGGGTTGGAAGTCATTGGATTAATGGACACCAGATTTGAAAGTTGTCATTCGGAGATATTACTCTAGGCAGGGGGTGAATCTGGAAGCGATAGCTCTTCACAAACAATTCAGCACATAAGTCATTAAGCCACAGAATGCAGACTGACTGACTCCGCTGTGAAGAGATCTCCAATGTATATTGTTCTGATTGTGATCTGGGGTGCCCTTGGGAGATGCTAGGAAAAAAAAATCTAGTACTGCAGAGAACTGAAGGAAAACAAATCATCAAATAATGTGTGTAAGGGAAAGCTGTCGTGGGGTAATGGCCTCCTACTCACGTCTATCCTAAGACACTGAAACGACGTGTTTTGAAAATATAAAACAGGGATTTTATTCAACTATTCCATTCCAGTCACCTTATTTCTACACTGGAGTAGATGGGATTGCTTAGCCTGCTTGTGCTGGTATAACAGAGGCAGCTGCTCCTTGTGTGTCACATTTTCAAAACCATGGCCACTCACATGTTTGTGCGCTCAGTTAGACAGTAGGCACGAACCTGAGTGCTGAGGCCTCCTGATTGCTGTAGTCAAACTTGCACCGGCAGTTCATTTTGTGGGCACAAAACCTGCAGGCACATATTCTCTCCAGCCAAAAAAGAGGCTTCTATGTTGACTGAACCACTGCAAGGGATAAGCTTGAATTCTCCATCTTCCCCTGTCATTGAGCACACAAGGATAAGTGGCCCAGTCCTGGAAGCAGCAGCATCTGTGCTATGTGAGAAAGCTGTGGCATGGGCTCTGCAGATGTAAGACTTTCATGACTGTCCTATCTCTCCCCTTTGCCAGGGGAGGAGTTGTGAATGCCACCCAAGCAGATAGAGTGAACAGGCTCTTCAGAACTGTCAACTAGCGAGAGAAGAGGATCCAACTGGACTAAAGATCCCCCCAGGCAATTTGAGAGGGGCTGTGAGGAGAGGACAGGAACCCTCTTCCCCAAAAGTGACTCTTCCCAAATCCCCCAAATTACCACCTATGAAAAGTCGGAGGTCCAGGTCTCATCTCTGCCTGCCCCTTCCCTATGGGGCAGAAAAGGGATTTCCATAGACCACAGGCTAGAGTAACCCATATAACACCATCTGGTGGGAAGGTAAAGGACAAGGATTCACATAGAGCTGCTCAGGTGACAGTTCAGTTACATGAGCTCACCTCTCCTCACCTCTGAGCTGCCCCGCACTCTTTTTGTACATGGGGCTGACCAACCCCAAGATGGAGCTAGCCTGCTTAGCCTTCTGGGGCTCATATGCATTCTACTGCCACGTAACCTGCCCCCACAATTTGTTCCCTTGTTTCTACAATTGGATCTTAATGGCTGAGTATTTGGAGAAGCTTACTGAACAAATAAAAAATAAATTTAAAAATCATTTCTCCAGCTGAGCAGACGTTCCCCATTTTGAGTTTAGTGCCCCCTGACCTGTGCTTTTTTTTTTAAATGTAGGGAGTAGTTCATTGCCTGTCACCAACTTACATTAAAAGAACATCCAATACCCAGGGGAGCTCTTTTAAATCTTTGTGCAAATGTGCCCAGTGCCTACATGGGTGTTTCATAAGAAACTGTAGGGAGATACCAACACAGTGTTGTTGTATCTGGATTGCACACACGGCTTGGCATCATTTAAACTGAAGACAACAACAAAAAGTAAGTTTAATTGAAATTTTCAAAAATCCTGGAAACATCTCTATTAATATTGAGTTTTGCAACTTTTTTTTTTTTAAACAAAACCAATATTTTATGCATAGGCTAGGTGACCATGTCCCATTCAGAAATGAAAATAATTTATTTCTTCCAAAAATGACAGATGAAGTGAAAGGAAAAAAATGGTGTAATTACACTTCTATCATATTGGGTAAATATACAGAGCAGACCAACAAGTTTTGTCCAAAGGCCGGAAAGCGTCTAAGTGACTCCCAACTGTCTGAAAATATATTATACTTAAGAAAAATCCGGTGTTCCAAGCTTGTAGATGGCGTAATATCTCTGCTCATTATATAGATCCCATCATTATGGAGAGTACAAGTCAAGTTGAGACCTGATTTGGACGTGTTCTCCTTGAGGTAGAGCCATTCTCTGGTAGCAGTGTTGTAAGACTGCACTGTTAACATGTCCTCACTTTGGCTAGATTTTTGGTTAGGTCCCAGTTCATGAATACAACCCCCTACCAGGTAGATGGTTTCCTCGACAGAGAGCATCTGCTGTTTGCGAATGTGGACATCACACAACTCAAAGTTGGTCCAGCAGTCAGAGATGGGACAGTACTGCAAGATGTTCATATTCCTGTCTGAAACAAAGGAGAGATGTTTATGCAAAAACCCAAACACATCAGTAGAGGTCTATGGTATGTCAATCAGTATTACAGATTGTCTATCTGTTGTTCACATTGGTTCTAAATAATCAATGTGTCTTCCAACCCTGCTTGTCATGTGTTAACTTATTTACAAGGAAGTGTTGGATTGACAATCTTTTCCTTTTTGAGACTGGAGTCTCTGATCACTTTTTTTCTTTTGTAGAGGGTAAAATTTTAAACCACTTTTGGCACAATGATTACATGATCCAAGTGGTATGAAGGGAGTAAGGGGCTTAGTTGAATAATTCCTGTGTGTTAGCTTGTGTGTTTCTTTTTAATCTTTGGTCACTGACTGATACTTGAAAATTGCTCCACTTCCCCCTGCAGAAAATATTCTCAGGTCTCAGTCAATGCATCCTTTAACTGGGGGAAAGGGAGGGAAAGGAGAAAAATCCATGAACTCCCCTAGACCTTACCCTGCAGTTTAATTTACTTGTGAAGCACCGAGACATCACGGTGAATGGTGCTGTGGAAAACTATAGTGTGGACAAATAGAGAAGAGCTAAGTATATTTGTTTTCCTCCACAGTTCTAATACAGTAGATGCAAACAGTGTTTCCTTTTTATTTCTTTCCCCATCCATGCACCACAATCACTGATCATGTCAGCAGGAATGCACACAGCTCTGCTTTTGCCATTACAAGGTACAGGAACGCTGCACGGCAATGGGAGGCTAGAGCAGTGATGGAAGGAAGCAGGTTTCTATTTAACTGTATCACATAAAAATGATGGCTATTTCTGTTTATTTTCTTGGCAGAGCAATGGAAACACCAGCTTGTAACAGTTAAGAGGTGAACGGAAGTGTTTTTATTTTATTTTTTAAATGAAAAAGCGTGTTTGGGATCTTAGATTGCTAAGAGAATATATTACAATAAGAAAGTTATTTTAAAAGGAAACAAAAGGTTTTAGCTGCTGAGACCTTTGTTTCATCTGCAACCACCAAACCCCTAAAAAGGAGAAGACTGATCTGCGTGCCTTGAAGTGTTTTAGGATTTGCAGAGGTGCCGAACATAAGCAATTCCTTAGAAGTCAGGCCACGTTAACTATAGGCACCCTGCTTTTAATTTTTGCCTGTCAATTATTTTCTTCCCAAGTGTTTTATCTTAGGTTATTTTCTGTATTTATTTTTAGAGCTTTCCACTTCATCTTTAAAGGCAGATTAAATTTTGGTCTTGAACAAACTGGTTTTGGTCTTTAAAAACAATAGGGTTTAAAAGAAATGTGTCTTACCTCTTGTAGTATATCCCCCAACAACATAAATTTTGCCCTTGCATTCACAAGCTGAAAATTCTGCAAGAGGGTTTGGCATAGATGCCACAAAATTCCACCAGTCGTGCTCTGGGCTGTAACACTCCACATTGGAAAGGGATTGACCGCCAATGGCATAGAGCTTTCCGTTTACAGCCAAAAGCTTAAAATTGGACCTAGAAGACACAAATTGGAGTAATGAAATAGCTAGCATGTGAAAGAAAAAACGAAGAAAGGAAAGGACATTATTTTTATGAAGGTTCCAAGATACCATTAACACTTCAAACTTGTACCATCAGCCAGTATATTATAGTCTGAACTGTTTTGTCTGTGCCCAAAATAGATTGTAAGCTCCTTGGGACAGGAACTGTATCCTTTATGTTTGTAGAGGGTTGAGAACACTGAGGGCATTCAGGAAAAAATAATAATGATGAGTCTTTTTAACGTCTTACACTTATATTTCAAATCAATACCATTTAAATGTAGCTGTTCAGCAGAGTAATCTGTTCTAGCTGTGTTGTGTTTTGTGTGTGTGTATTCTGTTGTGAAGCACGTGTGCATTCACCCACAGGCACAGACGCTCACTCGCTCGCACGCGTGCGCGCACACACACACATACAATCTTATTCCAGTCAGAGTTCCTGGAGTTTCATGCAAAAACAGATTAATACCTGAAATTGAGCACTGTCCCTGGTCTGTGATAGTGTCTCAATAGCCCATAATAAATAGGCATTTATTTTACTACAGGGTGAATGACACCTTGCAAAAGACAAAGAGGAATATCTCCTCTCTATATTTCTCTCTTTATTTTCACCACCACAATCACCCTGAAAGTAACACATTTTGGTATTCTTCCCTTCAGTCCAGGGCTAGATATTTTCACACCTTCCTCTGAAACCACACATTAACACAGGATGCTGAGCTCAATATACCAATAATCTGGTTTTAGTGTAACAGTATCAAAGTTCTATGTTTTCCCTCCCAATTTAATCCACTGTGTCCTGTATATTTCACAGGCTGCAAAGGGAAACTTGCCGATGATTACGGTATCACTTTGCAACTTGTGCCTCTAAAAAAATAAAAATACAAATAAGACACATGGAGAAACATTCCAAAGACTGGAAAAAAAGGGGAGATAGGAAGACACATAAAAACTGAAGCAAAGGAGCAAGATGGGAAAGAGATCCAGAACGGGATCAATGGATAATAAAATTGCTCCTTCAGCACGACTTGTTCTGAGCCAGATCCAGCAAATTTTACTCAGGCAATAAATTCAATGGGTGAAATTTATCCCTGTGCGCTGGACCAGCATAAGGCCAATGCAATACCCCATTCAAGCCCGTAAAGGCTTTAGTGGTACATTAGCTATGTGCTGCCCTGTACACCAAAAGGTGAGTTCCACTCAGTGCAAGCATGAGGTTACAAGTCAGTAAGAATACTGCCTATGTAGATATGCATGGTTTTGTCTGAACAAAATGAATGTTGTCTGGCAGCAGATTGCCCTGCAATTTTTTTGTATTAAATATATTTGGGGAAGTGTAAGGGGGAGGAGGGAAGTCTCCTTTCAGGTGGAATCATTTTGTTCTTGTAATCCTGAGATGGCTCTGGAAACTAAAATGCTTCTCTGAAAGAATTATTTGCTTTTGATTCTGTTTGTGCTGTCGTTTCCTATTAAGTCAGTCTGCACATCTCGAATGTAAAGTGATTATGTTTTCTAGCTTAAAGAATCTGGACTTAAGTGGCAATAATGGGTATGAAATGAGAGCAATTACTTGCAAAAACATTCGAGTTTCAAAGAGGAGTACCTATTTTAAATGCTATAGCAAGAAGAAAAATAAATATACACATATACACTACTGGAGTTCCATAACTGAGGAACTGTAGGTTGACTATGAGTACATTTTAGAAATTAAGCATATCCTTTAAAATTAGTAAAATGTTAGCAAGTCTACAGTGTGTTTGTCTGCGTGTTATGGAGAGGCAGGAGCAGAGCTCTGGTCTTATAAAATTAATTCACTTGGGCATATACAATGTCTTTCACCTGATGGCCACAAGACAACTTTGCAAAGTTGGGCATTAACCCCATTTTACAGATGAAGAAAGCTAACATACAGAGAAGACAAATGAATAATCCAAGGTCAGTGTCATAATGGAATAGAACTCAGGTCTTAGTCAGATTTAGCTGCTCTAATCACAAGAAAATGTGGCCCCTTGCTGCTTTAGTTGTAGGGAGATCATTAATATCACATTTATCTGATGGCGTCTGTATAACTGGAGGCCTTGTTACAAATCTAGGGAAGATTACTTTGTGAATGATGTATGGCACAACCTTTAACTTCTATTAGCCTAGAAGGGGTTCCTGTCAGATATTCGTGTAAAAGTGTTCAGATTACATATCTGATTTCAGCATTGGTTAATATGATGTTCAGAGCGTACCCCTCAAATACGGGAAATCTACCTACAGCACTAACTAAAATATTTATTTTACTCACAGGCACTGATCATACTTTGTCAACGCTTGGATCCTAACTTAATAGAGAGATTGCTTTGAACAACCACTTGCCTTTGTGTGCCAATTACAGCAATTGCTTTTATGGAAAACTAACATTAGGAAAGTATTTAATGCCTTTTTAACCTTTTTTTTTAAATATGCTTCAGCAGCTAGAAACAAGGAAAGCAAGCACCATACAACAAACCACCTTCCCATAACCACTAGCCAGTGTTCCATGGACCACAGTTTGGGAACCACTGATCTCAATATTGGGTCAAATCCATTCCTGATGTAACTCCACTGACTTCAATGGAGTTACACCAGGAATCATACCTTTCAAATGCCCCTCATTTGGATGACAGGTTTCAGAATAGCAGCTGTGTTAGTCTGTATCCGCAAAAAGAACAGGAGAACTTGTGGCACCTTAGAGACTAACAAATTTATTTAAGCATAAGCTTTCATGGGCTACAGCATCCGAAGAAGTGGGCTGTAGCCCACGAAAGCTTATGCTTAAATAAATTTGTTAGTCTCTAAGGTGCCACAAGTACTCCTGTTCCTCATTTGGATGTCACTCATTTTAATCCCAAGGTTACACACAAATTTGTTGCCCCCTTATTTTTATAGCTGAAAACTATTTACATCAGCGATAGAGACTCATGAAAGTGTGATTACAGGAAGAGGTGTTTACAGGAATAAATCCCATCGCACTTTAGGTTTCCTGCATGAGTACAGTATATTCCCATTTATGGCCGAAATCCTCTTATCCAATCCCTTCCTTGCCCCCCATGTCTCTCAAGGAAAGGATTTGGTTAATACAGAGGTTTGGGTAATAGAGCAGAGACCCCCCCCAAGACAGGACTGCAAGGAGGACGAGGAGCCCTCAGCTGTGGGGAAGGCCACCCTGCTGCTGAATGGCCCTCTGTGGTCCTGCTGTGATGGGAGTGATTGAGCAGGGCCATGATAGTGAAGCTGCAGAGGGCTCCCTGCATTGCCACAGGGCCAGTGACACCCAATCTCTGCAGGGACAAGGAAGGTTGTGGTCCACATGGGCAGAGCAGAATCCTGGCAAGGGGCTCTGCTCTGCCCCACACCTTGCGCCTGCAAGAATCAGGTGTCACTGGCCCTCCAGCAGCACAGGAAGCCTGCTGCAGCCCCACTATCATGGAAGTGAGTTAGTGGGGCAGAGCAGAAACCCGCAGCCAGAACTGTGAGGAGTAGGACGAGCCCCCAGCTACAGGGGAGGCTACCGCGCTACTGAATAGCTCCTATCCTCTTGATTATCCAAACTCACGATTATCCAAATAAAATCCATGTCCCCCATGCCATTCGGATGACAAAGTACACTGTAGTTTGTTTGTACCCTTTATTTTGGATCTTTCTCATGTATTGCATCCCATACTGGGGCCTTGGCAGAGCAAGAGGTATGTCTGGGATGAATCTGGCCTTAAGGCTTTTAGAGTGGAAGTGTTTGTAGTAATTCCTGATACCCAGGAACTGGGAGTGAGGGGATGGAAGTGGGGAAGAGAAGATCTCTTCAGGAGGCAGCCTGAACGTCTCCTAATCCTCTAGGATTTCACCAGGAGCAGCTCCTCTTGTCTCCCTGTGGAAGCCCTGCAGGTGGCAGCAGCTCAGGTACAGACTGCTCCCATAAGCACTGTTCCATATGCATCTGCATGCTCCCAGGCTGGTGTTTACAAGGGCCTTTCAACCCTGGGATATTGTCTACCAGGGAAAAAAAAAAAACACAACACATCACTCATTTTGGAACAAAATAACAATTAAAAATACAGCCAAGGTTGGCTCAAAAGGCAGGGATTCTAAAGGCAAAATATTTAGTAAATTTCATTTGGCAGCGTCACTAAGTAAAACAAAAGGGAAAAGGACTCTGTTTATCACTACACAATCCCTAAAGCTCCTTGTTATCTCCCTCTCTCTTTCAGAGATAGTGTTTTTTCTCTCTAACTCCACTGGGCCCCAAGAGCATGACTTTCCATGTGAAGTTACTTCCTCGTAACCAGGGATCCTCGTTTTCCATCATAAAAAGGCCAAAATTCTGATTTAACCCCCAAAAGTCCACCTTTTTCCATGATTAAAAAGAAACTCTGAATTTCAGTTTCCCTAGCCACAATATATACAGTTATCAATTGAACACAATGTTTTTTTGTGGTAGCCGTGTTAGTCTGTATCAGCAAAAAAACAGAGGAGTCCTTGTGGCACCTTAGAGACTAACACATTTATTTGGGCATAAGCTTTTGTGGGCTAAAACCCACTTAATCAGATGTATGAAGTAAAAAATACAGGAGCAGCTATAAATACATGAAAGGATGT